TTCCCTCTGTCTGTCTGTCTGTCTGTCTGTCCGGCAAGTGCATGTAAGCGATGTCCTTGTTGGAGATGCTGTTGTTGCTCATGGAAGGAGCGAATGAATGCATTTGCCTTAGGGCACAGGTGCTCACCAGAGAGAGACAGAGACAGGCAGAGAGAGAATGAGGTGAAGTGAGAAATCACCCCCCGGGGGGGATGGCCACGCCTCACCCCCCGGGGGGGATGGCCACGCCGCAGTCCCTTCTCCTCCATTCTCCTGCGGGGATCTTGGGCACGCACGCACACGCACCTGGTGTGATTTTCGAGCCACTGGGTCTGGGACTCGAACCATGGTCAGCCATGTGGGAGTCCAGCAGTGTGACCGCTTCCTCCTGGGAACCCTCCACGCCGTCCTGAGGCATCGGGCGTCTGCGCTGCCTGTTCTGGGTACACACCCCCATCCATTTCCCATTTCTCTGTGTCCGTGTGATTTACCTTGACAGAGCGGAGCCCTCGGGAACCACAGGGCGAATCTGCACAGGGCGAACCCGCACAGGGCGGGCCGGCCTCCCCTGCCTGTGAGCCCCTCGGAGCTCTCGCGTACCCCTCTGCGTGCCCACATGCTTTTTCATTTTATTTTTTTAAAGAGGCATCTGCAATGCAGGCGAGTTTAAAGATGAACATCTGTGAAGTGGGGCTTGCGTAAAGGAGAAATAAAAGCATGTCGATTCCCGGCCCGAGGAGACGGAGGAGGGTGCCGGCAGGCACCGTGGCAGCCTCAGAAACGTCGTCTGGGTTCACGTGCGTGAGCCAGGAGGGCTGGCCAAGCACCCACGCCACCGTGCACCCTGTCTGCCCTGTCCTCTCCTCTGCCCCGTAGCCTGCATTTTAAAGTGTTTACTTCTGCCAGAGAGCTTTGTTTCAGGGTGGGGACGGATTTGGGGTTGGGGAAGGGGTGGCGGCCCCGCGGCACCACGCTGCACACGGAGCCCTGCAGCCCCGACGCCTCTGTGGTCCCCTCCGCCGCCTTCTACGCTCCCCAGAGGAGAATCCCGACACCGTCTGCTCCTGCCCAGCCTGATGACAAGTTTCAGAAAGTTCTCTGTCGCCGGACCCAGCAGCGGCCTCCTTCCTGCGGTCACCCAGTGCCCTGGGTCCCAGGTCCGGAAAGGCTGCCTGCTTTTAGGTCAAAGCTTCCTCAGGGGTGACATTTATTTATGTCCACCCACCGGCCTTCGGAAGAAGCTCACAGTCCTGGGGGGCCTCTTCGGGGACCTTCCCTGTCCTTTGAAAAGAATGCAGATGCCACCCAAGGAAGATTTCAGGAGGGTGTGTACACTGCCCAAGACCCAACGCAGAATCCACTCGGCGTAACCGTCCGGGGAGTCCCCCTTCAAAGTGGCAGTCGCGTGAGGTTCGCAAACACCCTTACGGGGCGGAAGACACACGGGCTATTCAGGTGCTCTTACAAACATGGGTGTCTTCCTCAAGCTGGAAATGCAGCTCATAACTTCCGAGAGATGGAAAACACGTTCGACGCACTCTGTTTTTGTATGGCTCATTGTCAATATTCGCAAAGAAATATGTCAAACGTTTTAAAAATGAAAGTCGTGTGGGCAGCGTCTAGAAACACACACATCGAGCAGTTACTCTGTACTGGATGGGGGAAGAAAAGATCAAAGGAAAAAGATATTCCTGAGCCCTCGGGGAGAACCGACCATCGAAGTATCACTCAGAGCTCTGTAAAAAGGAAATGCAGGGCCGGAGGGTAGTGTGGTGGTGAAAGGCGCTGGACTCCCACGTGGCTGACTGCGGTTCGAGTCCTGGACCTGGAGGTTTGCTTTCTCACTTTCCCCCTTTCTGTCTGTCTGTCTGATTAAACTGGAAAATAATAATACTACTAATAATGATAAAGTAAAATACAATAATTCTGTAAAAGAAAGGAAATGCAATGAAATTACACACACACACATCACCCCACGATGTGAGCACACACTGGCCCGTGTGTAAATTTCTGGCCAGTCATGACAGTTGAGGCTCCCTCCCGTGATCTTGGGAAAGTTACATAACCTTTTCCTGCCCGGCTCCTTTTTCCGCTCTGTGCAATTTGGATAATAATTACATTCCTGGGGCTGTCAGGAGGAGAAGATACAATGTAAACAGTACCATCCGAACTGCAGGAAAGCGCTCTGCGAATATTCAGCGTAATTGTTATTTAGAGGAACCCGTGGGTCTTTGGGCAGGAATCCAACCCAGCCTTGCCGAGGATGGCAAAGGGGTTCGTGTAGGCATTCCTTCCCCGAATGTGGCACCGGAGCCCAGCTTGTGGTTTCTCTAACTGGACTCCAGAGGAGGGTCTTCCACAGACGCCCTGGTGTGGAGACTGTGCAGTTTCCCTTGTCTGTGGGTCTGGAACACCCATGCCGCCGTGCGAGAACAACGCGTGTCCGTACACGGGTGGACACGGAGAGGTGCCGGATACTCTGCTCACAGGCGCAGAGACAGGTCTGCAGAGAAAGGCATCCAGCCTCCGGCCCGGAGCTGCGAGCGGGAGACCGTCACTGCCGCGGGCACCTCTGCGCTGAGGAGCCTTGTGACCTTGGGCACAAATCCGCCTCCGAGGGTGTTAGCCTGGGCTAACAGCCTGCGCTCTCTGGCCGGCCTGCGCGTGCACACGGACCCTGGCTGCAAAGGTCTCTGTCGCTCACGGGAGGGGCCAGCAACATGCACTGGGGTCTCCTTGTTCAATGGGTTTCCAGCCCTGTCTATCTGGACGGGGGTCACTGTCCTCCAGCAAGACTGCTCATCCCCAGAGACTGCGACTCCGTGAACACCTTTGCCATCTGAACCCCGACGCCTCGGGGTTGGGGCCGATTTTGCCAGCAGCCTTCGGGCAGACGTGGAACGGACCGGTGATTAGGAAGTGGACTTGAACCGTTCATAGAACCAATACGGGGCTGGCTAGTTCATTTACAAGAGGACATTCCAGGGGCCCGCAGGTGGTGTGGTGCTGAAAGGCGCTGGACTCCCACACGGCTGACTGCAGTTCGAGTCCCAGACCCGGTGGCTTGCTTTCTCACTCTCCCTTCCTCTCTCTGGTCAGAGTCAGCAATCAGAACACATCAAAATAAATAAGTTTAAAAAGAAACCGAGTGAGCATGCTCAGGAAAATGGAAAATGTTGGAGGAAAAAAAAAAAAAAAACAGAAAGCAGCCAGAGGAGGCTGGGAAGGAACAGCTCCACGAGGTCTCCAGACTGGAACTGGGCCTCTGCCGTAGGACAGGTGAGGCTGACGGTTGGCCGGTGTGGGTCAGCCAGGCAGCCTCTCCGAGCTATCCCAGCCGGCGTGGCGGTTACGTAACTGGTGAGCACCCCCCTGGCAGCTGGGTTTCTGTAGGGTGACCCCCACACCCGCTTCCGCCTGAACACACACCTGAGAAAGCCTTTTGCTGTCCCTGCCTTGCCGGAGCCCACGGTCCGTGTTCGGATCCTCCCAGACTCACGTGCCGGGCGTGGAATGTGGTCAGGTGAAGCTCAGGGGCCCTCGATGCCCCGCACAGACCACCCTCCTCCTGGACACCTCCGTTTGGATTCCCTGTCACCCAGCGTCGACTCGGTTTTGACCCAGGTCATCCGGCCTGCCGCCCGGGAGCCTGCGGTGCTTGGGACGTGGATGGGAAGCCCGTGGCCATCATGTGCTCGGAGGGTCTTTAAGGACAGAGTGGGCAAACCCCAAGAGGAGGGCAGGTGGAGAGCGTCAGAGGGGACCTGGCCCTGCAGACGCGGACACGGCATTTTGAGAGACCTCCCTCCCCTCCACGCCAAGCCCTGGCACTGTGTTGGTGTTGAGAATATTGCACACACAGTTGTGTGCGTCCTCAAAGCATGTATTATCCTGAAAACAGGTCTCTGCCCTCCCTGCGTGGCCCCACCACTGCACACACTGGCTTTAGGGAAGGTGGGTGCGACGGTGCCGCATCCCCGTCTCCCAGGCAGGTCCAACCACAGAGGGAAACACACATGCAGACGCGTAATCACCCCGAATCACACCCCCCGCCAGTCTCTTTAGATTTCTGAAGATCCCTGGCTCAGGGAGTCTGTCTGTCCTTAACCCTCGCCTGGAATTTAAGCAGACAGGGGCATGCGGAGGGGAACTGCCTGCCTGTGTCCCAGCTCACCCAGACCGGGAGGAGAACTCCCAGCGGAGGGCTGGTGACTGGTGCAGACCCGTCTGTCCTGATTACCCGAGGAAGACATCCACCTCTCTGCGGCTGCATAAATTGGCAGCCTATTTAAACTGGGTGTTCTTTCTCACGGTTTTTTTTTTTTTTTTGCCTGTTTCCCAGAGGACTATCAGAAGGGAAGCATTTTCCTTGCCCACAATTGAAGTTACAGAGGGGTTCATCTTCCCAAACTGGACTTAGCGGAAGGCAAGAGCCCATTCCTGTCACGTCCAGCCATCTCTCTCCTCTGGAGCGAGGGCCAGGGACCTTGGAGACAAGCTGGCTGTCCCCAGACCTCTGTCCTCCCGGGTCCTGGTAGGGTGCAGTGGGTATAGGACTTCCTGACCTGTTTTTGATGTCCTTTTCTATGGCTCTCCAGAGGTGTCCCTGGGCGACACTGGGTTCTCGTTGTGCCTCACCTCTGTCGGGGTGAGCACAGCTTTAGGGGGCAGCTGGGGTCCCTCAGCTCCGGGTCCCAGCTGCAGTGGTGCAGGGGAGCCCTCTGGAGCTGGCGAGCCACTCAGCCCGCACGAAGGCAGGAGCCTGTCAGCCCGCACGAAGGCGGGAGCCTGCCGGTCTTGGGCTCCCGGGCGCCCAGTGGTTCAGACGGACCCGAGGGGCGCAGCGAGCCCGCGGCCACCCTCTGCACACCCACCTGCCGCTTTCCGCCAGCTCCTCCGTCCCCCATGGGGCACCAGGGCGCAGCGCCGCCTCGGACCCCGGGGACGGTCCCACAGCCGGCTGGCGCGCCCTCCCCGAAGTTGCGTGTCCCCCACGGTCCCCCCGAGCGCAGCGCACTCACCCGCTCCGCAAGGTCCATCCTTGAAGGTCAAGGCCAGGTGGCGGTGGCGAGGGCGGGGGCGGG